TGGGTTCCCTATCACCAGCTTCCTTGTCCCCTTCTGCCTTCTGGCCCTTGTCACTGGACTCCTGTACCTCGTTAGTCTCATTTGGTTTTACAGTGAACCTCGGAGGTAACTTCACCACTGAGCTAAAAGGGTGTCTGGGGGCCATACTCCTTTAGGCCAGTAAATCTGGTCTTTTTTTTTTTGTGAGTTAGAATTATGCTCTACATCCTTCTCCAGCTCTGTCCAGAACCCTCTGTCGTGATCCCCGCAGTCTAGTTTTGTAGATAAAGTTGTACTGGAACACAGCCAAGTTCATTCACTTATGTATTGTCTATGGCCGCTTCATGCTCCAACGGCAGAGCCTAAAATCTGCCCTTTACAGAAAAAGCTTGCTGACTCCCATCTTCAATCTCCACTGCCCTAAAGGGGCATTCTCCAGGGTATACTTCAACCTCATTTGGGACTTCAGCACTTAGATGTGTATTTCAGTTTTAGTCCATCTCCTACTTTTTAGTCTTTGAGATTCAGCATCTTCTTACCATGCAATTGACACCCTCCTTCTCTGTTGTTGTTAGCTGCCATCCAGTGGGCCCCCAATTCATGACAACTCCATGCAGAATGGAACGAAACACTGTTCTGTCCTGCACCATCCCCAAGATTAGTTGCAGATTAGACAGTTGCGATATATAGGGTTGGCATTGGCTGATTTTCAGAAGCAGATTGCCAAACCACACTTCCTAGTCCGTCTTAATCTGGAAGCTCCACTGAAATCTGTTCAGCATTATAGCAATACGCAAGCCTCCAATGATAGACGCGTGGTGGCTACACATGAGCTGCTTAGTGAATCAAATCTAGGTCTCCCACAGGGTGAGAATTCTACCACCAAACCAAAATGTTTATTGTCTATGCTCTACTCAACAGACTGCTAATTTTAATGTCAAAAACTATCTTGTTCACCTCTGTATGTCCAGTAAATCTGCTGTCCAAGAGAAATGGAATGCATGCCTCAGATGTAAATTTTAAATTTTCTAGTAGCCATATGTTATGGATTGAATTGTGTCCCCCAAAAAGATGTGTCAAAATCCTAACCCCTGCTCTGGTGAATGTGGCCTTGTTTGGGGAAATAGGATTTATCTTTGCAGATGTTATCAGTTACATTAATAAATCATGCAGGGGGAATAGGGTGGGTCCTAATCTCAATTCCTTCTGAGTGGTGTTTTATAAAAGAACAGACAGAGAAACAGAGTCACACATGAGGGGAAGACAGCTGCCATGCGACCAGAGAGGCAGATGCATCTATAAGCAACAAAGGAACACCAAGGACTGCCGGCAGCCAGCAGAAACTAGGAGTGAGGCATGGAACAGTTCCGCTCTCAAAGCCCCCAGAAGGAATCAACATGGCCAAGACCCTGATTTTGGCCTTTTAGTCTCCACAACTGTGAGAAAGTAAATGTCTGTTCTTTAAAGCCACCCATTTTGTGCTATTTTGTTATGACAGACCTAGGAAACCAAGACACCATATTTAAAATGTAAAAAGATACAGATGAAACTCATTTTAATCACATATTTCATTTAACCTAAACAGTCCTTACCAAACATGTTATCACTATAAAAAAATTATTGAGCTATTTTGCATTGTTTTTCTCATATTAATTCTCAGAATCCAGTGTTTATTTTACACTTACAGCCCATCTCAATTCAACTACCACATTTCAAGCTCTAAATAGCCACATGTGGCTCATGACTACCACCATCGTGCAGATAAAGAATAACAGGTGGCACATATGAGGCATCCAGTAAATACTTGTTAACATGAGGTCAAGGCAATCTTCTACATTATTTTGACCCTTCTATAGTATAAGGAAGGAGCCTTGGTGGCACAGTGGTTAAAGCACTCGGCTGCTAACTTAAACGTCAGTGGTTTGAACTCACCAGTCACTCTGCAGGAGAAAGATGTGGCGGTCTTAAATCCTTGAAGATTACAGCCTGCAGGGCAGTTCTATTCTGCCCTATAGGGTCGCTTTGAGTTTGAATCGACTCCACGGCAACGGGGTTGGTTTGGTAGTGCAACCAGTTAATGTGCTAGGCTGCTTAACCTATAGGTTGGAAGTTCAAGTCCACCCAGAGCCACCTTGGAGAAAAGGCCTGGCAATCTTCTTCCAAAAAAGCAGCCATGGAAAACCCTATGGACCACAGTTCTACTGGGATACGTGTGGGGTCACCATGAGTCAGAATCGACTCCATGGCAACTGGGATAGTACAGGAATAGTATGGTATAAAAATAGTATCTACACTACTCATAGAGCCTAATTGACTTAGCCATCTCCTGTTGTTGGACATTTAGATTGTTACCAATTTTTCACTTTTTAAGATAATTCTGCAATGAACATCTCGTTCACATCTATTATTTCCTTAGGATAAATTTCCAGAAGTGAAAATTCTAAGACGAAAGTATGTCCCCTTTTAGGGCTCTTGACACATCTTGTTTAACTACCACCCTTCATTTTAGTTTAAAAATAATAAAAGGCTAAAGATAAAGGAACGAATACGAGAGGTGAGGGAAGGGCGGAAAGCCAAAGGCGGAAGAACTGTTGCGGGAACGGGCCCCTGTGCCAGCGACCCTGGCTTTCCCGCCCCGCCCCACACGCCAGCGCTGACGCAGCCGGCCGGCCCAATCCGGAGCACTGACCCACGGCGCAGCTCCCACTGCCCGCCCCGCCCCGTGACGTCCGCGGAGTGAGGCTGGACTTCCGGTCGCGCCGCGGCCATGTGACCCGCACCGGAGGCGCACTTCTGGTCGCCCCGGCAACCGCGCCGGCTCCCGCCCGCCTCCTCCGTTTCCCCACCGAAAAATAAGCCCTTCCTCGCCCACCGCCCGGAATCTACAAGCTGCGTGCCCACGAGGTGACTCCGGGGACAGCTGGGGTTCCTTTCGGGAGTGAGGGAGGAACCTAGAGGCTCCTGGCTTTTTCTGAGGCGGGGAGAGCTGAGGTCCCTGGCGGCCACGTTGTCATACTTTTCTTCCCACGGCCGAAGATGGGCCCGAGGCCCAGGAGATAACCTGAAGCATTAGTGGTTGCTTGTGAGAGGGGACTAGTTCCAGAGTCTCTCAACAGGCCGTGCATCCAAATCACCTGGGAGACTCTTTTCAGAACTCTGATGCCCAGTTTCCCACCCCAGGCCAATGAAATCAGAATCTCTCGAATTGGGGTCCAGGTAGCGGTGCTTTTTCATAGCTCCCCGGGTGGTTCTGATGTGCCGAAAACCACAGTGAGTTAAGTTAGTTAGTTAAGCCAAGTCTCGAGGTGAAATTGGACTTTGTCCGTCTTGCCCAGTACCTGAATAGAAGATCACTCAGGGCAGCCTCAGCCTTGGAGGATGTCCGGGGTGTTGGCCCGTCTACTCACTTTGGGGTTTTCTTTCTTTGCCCTTGCACTGTGACCTCTGTGGGAGGTCAGAGTTTTTGGTGGTAGTTCTCTTGAGAACATTGGGCACCTGGGGTCGTTTGTGCGTCTTAAACCTGTTGAGGTGGAGCATGTCTTTGCCCACCTTTCTTCCTCTGTGATGAGGTGGAGTTGGACCGGTGGCCAACGATGTGCCTTTCAAGCTCTGAAATCCTGAGATTCTCGTGGCAAAGATTAGATGATTCTGAGCCATTTTCTTTCTTTCAGGGATGATTTTGAAACTTGTTTCACAGACGAGGCTCTGTATTCAGCTGTTTCTCACCTTAAGTCAAAACATTACTTAATCTAAAGATTAATAACACAAATAACACTTTGGGGGTTGTTTACTTTCAGGGTTCCCATGAATTGTCGATTTACGCTTTACAAATACGATTTCTACTCTACGGTTTATCAGACTAACAGCCCCTTTGGGATGGCAGTGTGAACAGAAACTATGTATTTTAAAAGACTGTTGGTTAGTAGCTTTGGACAGAGATAACTGAAGGCAAGTTCACAGCAGTGTACAAATCCCCTCTGTGTGTTCATTGCTGTGCTGGGAAAGTATACAAACCAAAGCTCCAGAGAAATTTTCATCCTAAAACTGTTTTACACATGTTAAAGGATTAGTTTGTCTTTCCCGATTCAGCATTTAGGTTTGTGAGAAGGACGGGAAAAGGCTGAATAAGTAGGGCTAGAGTGAAGGTTGGAGAGTTCACACCCTAGGTACAGAACTCTTAAAACGACTTCTCTACCATAGAAAATCTGGCCAAAGAATAGTTGGACAAGTGAAAAAAAAGAGCATAACTGTAGTTGATCAAAGGCCGGATGAACTGAAAGTATCTTGGATTGAAAACATAGTAACGAATTTAAATGCCTGCTTCCTGAAAGGATTTGAGGCCTTTTAGAGTCATTTGAGTTACTAGCTATTCAATCTCCCCCCTCTTTCTGACAGACGTAGGAAAAAGAGAGTGTTATCAGGAAACAACAGATAATCATGAACATCCAAGGACAAGAAATATTAGTTATTATTTCTGTGCTGGAAGGAAAATACAAAATTTAAAAGAAACAGATTGCAGACTCCATGCCTACAAGTAATTAAGTACACAGATGAGTAAGAGCTAGTGAGTGCTGCATTAATTCAGCAGAGAGAGATTAACATGGAATGGTCATGCATGTGTTTATAGAAGAGGGAAAACTTGAAATAATATTCCTGAAATCTACTGATGGTCTTAACCACTTTAAACGAGTCATGGTTTGTGCTGATTTGCCCTTAATATGCAATGTCTGCCTCTTCAGCCTGTATTCCTTGATGGTCACACTAGGTTTTGCTGTATGAAGGACACGCTTGCACTGAAGTGAACTCTGTTTCCTCTTCTGAACTGTGTATCATTATGTCCTTCTCAGTTGTCCCATTGCCTGTTGAGTTCATGAGTCAGGGTAACTTTGTTTTTGTGTGGCCTCATATTTCACTTCTGATTCTGACCCTAGTCACATGGGGATTCGGTGAACTTGCAAATAAATCCCTTCACAACTCCATCACCCTTGCTGACAAATTAAACAGTGCCCTTCTGTGAGTGGAATGTCATTTGTGTGTGGTGGGGGGAAGCTTGTTCGCCACATCCTTTTCAGTCTTTCTCCTTCCTTTTGCTGGACACTCTGTAGCATTACTTCTTATTGCAGCATCTAAACCAAAAAACCAAACCCGTTGCTATCGAGTGGCTTCCAACTCACAGCGACCCTATAGGACAGGGTAGAACTGCCCCATAGGGTTTCCAAGGAGAGCCTGGTGGATTCGAACTGCTGACCTTTTGATTAGCAGCCAAACTCTTAAACACTGCAACACCAGGGTTCCCTGTTGCAACATCCAGGAGAGGGTAAATTGGGATTTGGGGTCAAGGGAATGAAAAGGAAATAAGATTCAAGGTTTTGGGCTCCCCTGCCCATCGGTTTTTGTGATGGCTGTTATAGATGGTGGCACAGTGGTTAAGCGCTCAGCTGCTAACCACAAGGTCAGCGGTTCAAGCCCACCAGCTGCTCCTCAGCCACTCCACGGGAGAAAGATGTGGCAGTCTACTTCCATAAAGATTACAGCCTTGGAAACTCCATGGGGTAGTTCTACTCTGTCCTATAGGGTCGCTGTGAGTTGAAATCGACAGCAATGGGTTTGGTTTTGTTGGGGTATAGATGAGTAAGTGCAGGCTTTGGAGACACAGTGGCAACTGCGCTTGTAGAAGGCCTGTGTCTGGCCCAAAGGTGGAGCTTGGACTCCTGAGGGTAGAGGAAGGCCATTGGAACTTGAGCCGTCTTTGAGGTCCAAATCACTAAGCAGAGGCCTTACAAAGCCACAGCAGGGAACCCAGGAAGGCATCAAGCCAGATGATGCTAGCCTCATCTGGAGGCTGGCCGGGGCAAGGCAATGGTCTCATCACCCCCCTCTCACAGTTTATTATGTATCTTAGTTACCGGGGTGTATTATTGGAAGACATCTCTGATAGGGTTATTATAGCCCATACAGAGAGTCCTTAGAGCTGCATTTGACTAAGTTTATGTAATGCAGATTTCTCACCGAGCCGTCCTTTATTTTGCCACAGTCCTCAGCCGATTCCCTCCTTCTGCCTTGAAACAGTTTAAAGTGAGGGCCTAATTAGATACCCCAGATTATCTGGTGGGCTCAGAGAATCACCCAGGCAGGAGCTTCATAGGAAAGGTTCTGCTTTGGGGGCTTTAGCCATTGTAACTTATTTAGTGATTGACTTGTAATGTGCTTCTAGGCAAAAATCAAGTGAGTGAGTTTTCAGGTATTTAATTTTCAGAATTATGGAAAATTCAGACATTTCAGAATTTTGGAAAACGAGGATAGAGGAGGAAATCCAGTTGTAGAGTATACATTATCATTTTGGGGGTAATTTGTGTTTTTATTTATCTGGTTGGTACGGCACATCCTAGATCATATACGAGTATAACTGTGCAGTAAAAACAATATGGATGATGTCACTACCTTTCAACAAAGCCACATTACTTCTTTGTGGAATTTTTTAATAGCTTGAATGGAAATAGTCGCATTTTATCCGTTGGAAACTGCGAAGCTCTTGTCTCTTTGTCTTCATGTGTATTTATGAATTTAAAACCCTGTCTTCCAGGGTGAGCACAGATTCCCTGGAGAATGAATGCATGTTTTGAGAAAGGCTGTATAGGAAAATATATTTTTCAAGACTTGGAGGCTTTGTCTTTTGCCTGTAGGCCCCGGCAGTGTTTAATGAATGACCTCAACCCTGTTTTTCTTCCTTCCTTCTGTTGGTGGTTGAGGATGGACAGACAATGAATTCGCTCTCTGTCCTAGCTCGGGCTCAGCTGGGCAATGACTGTAATGCCATTGTACTCACTGGGGACGGCTACCCAGTTTGTATTGCTGTGGATCCCAGCCTTCCTGACATCGCCAATCCCTTTTCTCTCAGCTCCACCATCTCATTAAGCAAAAAAGATGCTGTTTGGTCCCCAAAGGCTATGCCATTTAAGAGAAGACATTCCAGGGGGGTAGGGGATGGAAGGTAAAATTGAATAACATTAAAAGGGCATCTAAATCTGCTGCTGCCGTAAGCATTGTTCTTTGCGGTGGTGATGGTGTCCGAAAGTGTGGCTATAATGTGTAGAATTATTCTCAACGTTGACTTTTCAGAAACCCAGGCATTCTTTTCTTATTAGGTCCTTAAGCTTTCTGTGTGGAAAAAGTAAACAGCTTGAAACAGTTGACAGACCCATTTTGAGAGATGGTTCTCACTTTCCCTTGTGATTTAACTGATGAAGTTAGTAGGGAAGAATCTACTCCTTCTTTCGGGGAGTGGTTGCTTAGAACTGTCTCCTGCTTCCTGGCATTGTGTAACTGACCAGTACGCAGCAGCTAGCAGGCCTGGGTTGGAAGTCATGAGACTGCAAGTGTTCTGAGCTTGTCAGTGGGTGCTGGTTTGCAGCAGTTTGTTGGTTTAATTGAGCCTTTAAATGTCTATGTAGCGCTTTAAGAAATGGTCCAATGTCCTTATTTAGTCATGTTGTTAGGTGCCGTTGAGTCGGTTCCGGCTCATAGCGACCCTGTGTACGACAGAACGAAACACTGCCTGGTCCTGCCCCATCCTCACAATCGTTGCTATGCTTGAGCCCATTGTTGCAGCCACTGTGTCAGTCCATCTCGTTGAGGGTGTTCCTCTTTTTCCCTGACCCTCTACTTTACCAAGCATGATGTCCTTCTCCAGGGATTGACCCCTCCTGACAACATGTTCAAAGTATGTGAGATGTAGTCTCGCCATCCTTGCTTCCAAGGAGCATTCTGGTTGTACTTCTTCCAAGACAGATTTGTTCGTTCTTCTGGCAGTCCGTGGTATATTTTAGTCATAGAGACTGTTTTTTTGGTCCCAAAATATTAGGAACTGGGAACCAGGATTGCTGTTGGTCATAATCACAGTTTTCCTGCTTCCACTGGTCTTATTCCAAGCCTAATGATGGATGAGCTGTGTGGGAATCACGAAGTTCCTCCCCACATTTCCAAGTGAAAAATGAGGAACAATTAAGATGCTCAGCATATCAAGGGCAGAGTCTCTACCACTTAAAAGTGCGTTAACCTGAAACAGCCGAGGACAAAGGATGGCCCACAGCTTGTTTTTATACTGCCAGTGAGCTAAGAACGCTTTTCACATTGTTAAAGGGTTGTGAGGGAAAATAAAAGCAAAGAAGAATCTTCAGATTATGTGACAGAGACAGGATGTGGCCCACAGGCCTAAAATATTTACTATCTGGCTCTTTACTGAAAAAGTTTGCTGACACAAAATAAGAAAAGTAATGCTGGAAATACCAAGCTAATCATGATTATAAAGCTCTGTGCAAGCTGCTCTTCCTTTAAAAATGTTTTTCTTTTCTACCTTATTTGATTTTTGAGAGATTAATTGATTACTTTATCATTGGTTCTCAGGAACTGTTTGTTATTGAATATCTCTAGGATTGTAGGGATCTTACAGAAATACTTTAAAAGGATCTGATACAGAGGTGAAGGGATTTGGGAAGGGAAAATAAGAAAGCCAAGGATGAGGGGGATAGTATATTCGACAGCCAGCCCCATGACTCTCAGCTAGCTGGAGGGTGGTGGCTAATATGATGATAAGTGCCCTAGTGGCCAAAACAAATCACCAGAACAGAACAGAACTGCTCACAAAGTTCACTGCAGTCCCTCATTAACAGAAATCCATCTTCTCTTAATGGCCTGGAGCACCTTAGTGGAGTAATTAACGTATTTTAGAGACAGCAGGCATACTGGGCTGAATCTGAATGGCTTCTGGTTGGAACACTTGGTTTTCCTCCATCAGCTCAGCTCGTTTTCCTGGCTTCTTGCACTAAGGAAGTGCTCAGAGTGTACCTTGCGTGCCCTCTGAGGTGGTATAACATGGCAGCCCTTTTGCTAAATTATTTGTTGTGTCAGAGACATCGGAGCCTCTGGGTGGTACAAACTGTTAACCATTTGGCTGCTAACCAATAGGTTGGTAGTTCAAGTCCACCCAGAGGTGCCTCAGAAGAAAGGCCTGGTGATCTGCTTCCAAAAATCAGCCATTGAAAACCCTATGGAGCATATCTCTACTCTGACACACATGGGGTCGCCATGAGTGGACTGACTCCACAGCAACTGGAAGTAGGGATCAAAGGCATAAGCCACTTCTCAAGTTAGCACAAGGCCCCCCCCGCCGCCTCCGCCTTTAAATCACAGCTTTTGACATTTTGCAGTGTGGACATCACACTCCCACGGGCCTAAACTTCTAGCTCTGCACAGTGGAGCCTCTCATAGCCATCTTGGGGATTTTCAGAATACTGTTGCTACTACCTTTACAGCTAAGCTGTAATTCCCCAGTTTAATAAGGAGAAACCGGGCTTTCAGAGATCTGCAGTAGTGTTCAGTCACAAGAGTGATTATGACATATTTGAGGTTATCAGACTTCCCAACTTGGGATAATTGATACTTCCGTCAGTCTGGTGCTAAGCACGTCTTAGGAGGTGTAGAAGTCTGGATTCAAAGCTCATCATTTCCAGAAGACATGCAGTTATCTCATAGGCTTTTCTAATCTAATTCCTATGCTCCTCATTAATCTATACAACAAATTTGGTTAAGATGCACATAAGAGTTTGCTTAAATGTCATTATGTGCTGCAGGCTCTCAGAAAGCAGCTCTGATGTTAGTGATAGGAAAATGAAACCTGGCGACAGTGAATTAGCCTCTTAAAGACTGCACCATACAGCTTAGCACTCAAGTATGTACTGCTTTCTACCGCCATTTCGTTTGTCTTCATTTCACTTCTCTGAGTGGTAAGCCCCTTCACGGTGCTGACTGTTACATACTTCTTCACTAGCCTGGGAAGCATGTAGCAGTTAGCCCGATTTTCAGGTAATCGCTCATGGTAACCTTTATGTTATAGTTTAAAAGTAACATGAACTTCATTTACACTTAATGTTTTCACCACGTTCATTAGCTCCTTTCCAGTTTACATTCACCGTGTCACTTTAGAACAGGAGACAGGAAGTGTAGGCCACGTTTAAGATAAATTTACAGAAAGTCATATCAACCCTCTTGGAAATACCCTGGTTGAAAGCTTATCACATTGAAACAGACTGTGAATGGTTCTCTTTAGGCAATACCGTAAAAAATAGAAGTGGTCAATTTATCATCTCAATTTTTAACAGTAACCATAGCAAAACATCTGATAGAGATTACAAAATAAGCCAAGTTTATTTCTTTAAGGCTTGGAGATTGTTTTTTCTTTCTTTCTTTTTTTTTTCTTCTTGTGCCCCATTAGTCTCGTTTTGTTTTATGGGCCTGTCTAATCTTTGGCTGAAGGGTGAACCTCAGGAGTGACTTCATTACTGAGCTAAGAGGGTGTCCGGGGACCATACTCTCGGAGTTTCTCCAGTCTCTGTCAGGCCAGTAAATCTGGTCTTTTTTTGTGAGTTAGAATTTTTGTTCTACATTTTTCTCCAGCTCTGTCTGGGACCCTCTGTTGTGATCCTGGTCAGAGCTGTCAGTGATGGTAGCCAGGCACCATCTAGTTATACTGGCCTCAGTCTGGTGGAGGCTGTGGTAGTTGTGGTCCATTAGTCCTTTGGACTAATCTTTCCCTTGTATCTTGTTTTCTTCAAGGCTTGGAGATTTTTTACTGCTACCCTGTAATTAAGTGAAGTTGGGAAACTAAGACTCCTTCAGTATCTGATTTCCAAAGTTTCCCAACCTAAGTAGCTGTTTGCTCTCCATCACTTAGTGGTTTCATCTCACAGATTCTTAAACTCTCATTCGTTTTAGGATATTATTTCTTTTTAAGGTACATGCTGGTATAAGCTGGGATTTTAGTAGCTCTGACCCGCTGAACAGAAAAAAACAATTAAATCTGAATAGATTGTCAAAGGTGCAGCCGCAGATTAAACTTTAGCTTTTGGTATTTCATACAGGTAAATCAGTAAATAACAAGCAGGTCGGTAATGGCAAAGGAGCCTTTCTCTCAGCAGAGAAGTGCCGTTTGGAAAGCAGTTGGTGTGATTCCTCAGTGTAGAGTCTCCCTGGACCGGTTTCTCCCCCCGCAAAGAGGCAGCATGGGTAGGCAGGAGACAGTGGTGTCATGCCCGGAGAGGCTCATTGCAATCAAAACTCAAACCAAAAAAGAGACCCACTTGGGAGAACCACAGCCCAGGGCACAACAAGGCTGGAGGGAGTTCTGATTTAGAGCGGCTTCTCCCAAGTCCCAGACCTAAGGTGAGACACAACAAAGGTTTTTGGTGAGTCAGAAAGATGTGTTCTCCTCAAGTGTTGGAAAATTCAGGGTTAATTTAAATAGGCATTGGCATAAGGTAAGGATTAGTGAAGGAGGTAATAGTTGTAAATTTTTAGTTCGTATTCTGTGTGTTATTTTTTATATACATGTTGTTAGCTACTGTCGAGTGGGCCCCTGACTCGTGGCGACCCTATGCATGATGGAACAAGATGCTGCCCCGTCCTGTGCCATTCCCATGATCAGTTGTGGATCAGCCTGTTGTGATCCAAAGGGTTTTCATTGGCTGATTTTGAGAAGTAGATCGCCATACCTTTCTTTCTAGTCCATCAAAGTCTGGAAGCTCTGCTGAAACCTATTCAGCATCCTAGCAACACGCAAACCTCCACTGACAGACGGGTGGTGGCTGCACATGAGGTGCATTGGCTGGGAATCAAACTCGGATCTCCCACGTGGAAAGCTAGTAATTCTACCAATGAACCACCACTTCCCTCTTCTGTATACATACCTCCCAAAAAACCAGACCCATTGCCATCAAATCGATTCTAACTCATAGCAACCCTACAGGACAAAGTAGAACTGCCCCATAGGGTTTCTAAGGAGCGGCTGGTGGATTTGAACTGCCGACCTTTTGGTTAACAGCCATAGGTCTTAACCACTGTGCCACTAGGGCTCCTTTATATACATATTAACTATTAAATATCTACATGTTATTTTCGTAGGCTTTACTTTCAGTAGGGAAACCAGTAATTGAATGCCAAGCCATGTGGTGTCCTGTGACCCATTTAATCATACCAAAGTGGATCCCCTCTTTTCAAACTACGAGATCATAGCCCAGGTGCCAGGGTCATGTAGGCATGAAGATCAGGCATGGTATTGGGAAGAGGCAACCTCTGAGGAGCTAGCTTTGCAAACCGTGAAACAGCCATGGATACCACATACCTGTACTGATCAGATGTTGCCACTATGGTTGTTCTGTCCTAGATTCGTTGCTCATTGGGACTGTCACCATCAGAGATGGCTGCAAAGGTAAGTTTTTTTTTTAACTCATAAGAAAAAAAAGGGTAAATTTTAGTGTTTAAAGTCTCGGTGTTCTCATTCCATGATGGAGAAGACTGAAGCATTACATCAGAAAACGGAAGGTCAAAGTTCTGTTGGGTGCTTTGCTAGACATCTTTTTTCCCAGGTATGGAGGAGTAGACCAGGTCACCGGGCACTTGCGGGTAGAGAAGGAGGAACCAGAGTCCTTCCTGGTCATCAGTCCATGTGGCTCTGGCAGCTGTTTCTAACTGGGAACTAGTTGCTTAATTACAGTGGGTAGAGATGGCCGATATGACAAACTTTGGGCCCTTATCTCTCCCTGAATTGTATCTAAAAACGATCATTATTAGCCTCTGTCTCCACTTGATAATATGCTGTAACCTAAAGCTGATTGTCCTGTGTGTACCTCATGTACATGTATTTACTGAGCAAGTATGCATACATGTGGTATCTGTTATGGGCATGAACCTCTCTTACACCTTTTTTGGCCCAGCAGCGTCCTAATGTACATGAGGCATGTGGTAGCCCCTCCCTAAATACCTGTTGGTTAGTTGATGAAACATTTGATGGTTTCTCTTGAAGATGAACTGTTTGATGTCTACCCTGTACCCTTCATTTCATAGGCATCCTCTTCGAAAGATACTGATCCTTGGTATTCTCATCCAGTATATGCAAGATACTGGCAGCATTATCATCAAGCAATGGCTTGGATGCAAAGCCACCACCATGCCTACAGGAAGGCCATGGAATCCTATTTCAATTCCCTGTGGTCCTTCCCGTCTGCAGTTCTTCCCTACAGCTATTATGCTAACCAAGGTGGATATCCTCAGTCTTTCTATGACCGTCACTCGGCCTCCCAGGACTCCCACTGCACATATCCGCATTTTAGAGGGTCTGGACAGCATCCACATGACAGCCATTGGCTCCAGGCATCCACCAGAGAGGAGCAAGCTTTGTCATCAGAGGAGGAGGTGGAGAGCGAGTCAGACGGGGAAGTGGAGTGTGACCTGAGCAACATGGAGATCACCGAGGAGCTGCGCCAGTACTTTGCGGAGACCGAGAGGCACAGAGAAGAGCGACGTAAGTCCAGGCCTGTCTCCTCCTCGTGTTACCTTTCTTTGCCTGCCTTTTGCGTTCTTTCTTCCCTGATAACATACAGCTATTTTATAACTCCTTGTTTTGGTACAGATAATACTCCCCAAATATGCTAGCTTCCAGAGTTATTTTAGTATACCAGAAAACTCATTGCCGTTGAGCTGATTGCAACTCATAGCGACCTATAGGACAGTGTAGAACTGCCCCATAGGGTTTCCAAGGCTGTTATTTTTACCGAAAGAGACTGCCACGTCTTTCTCCCACAGGGCAGCTGGTGGGTTTGAATCACCCATCTTTTGGTTAGCAGCCGAGTGTTTAACCACTGCGCCACCAGGACTGCTTTTTATTTTAGTATAGGGCTTTTTTTTTTTTTTAGTTCTAGAACAAAGTTTATCCTAATAGCTCTCCTACCGTTCACTGAATGTCAGACATCCACCAGATAGGGTTGTGTGCGTGTATGTGTTATTCCTAATCTACTCAATAGCCCCTTAAGGCATTAAATCCATTTTACAGATGAGGAAACAAAGCCTTCAGAATACTTGTTCCAAGGTACATGACTAGTAATTTGTTATTACGATTCACACCAAGGTCTGCCGGACTGCAGCTCCTGCCTGACGCCAGGATTTTCCCTACGCTTGCTCGATCCCTCGAATGCCATTGCCACTTTACTAGTACACAGCTCTGAGACATGCCCAGTGCTGCAGAGCTGTCTAATTTGAAATCATTCCCCGCAGAGCAGAGAGCAGTGTGAGCCTAAACAGAATAAAGAAATGTCCGGCACCTCAAACGTCCCCGTTTGATCCTGTACTGAGGCTGTCTGTTCCTGGGGTTAGAGAATTGTGATCATGGTCTTATAGCTTCAGTCAGAAGGCAGGAATTTTCTTTTTATAATTTCTTCCTAACTTTCTACAAAGGACTAGAACTGCTTTTTGTGCTCTCCTGAGTATTAAAAAGGAGCGCTGGTGGTGCAGTGGTTAAACCACTAGGCTGCTAACCAAAAGATCAGCAGTTCAAACCCACCAGCTGCTCCATGGGTAAAAGATGTGGCAGTCTGCGTCCGTAAAGATTTACCGCCTTGGAAACCCTAGGGGACAGTTCCACTCTGTCCTGTAGGGTCGCTGTGAGTTCGAATCAGCTCCGTGGCAGTGAGTTTGGTTTTGGGTTTGAGTATTAAAACTTCCAGACCATTTCCATTTGAAGTGCTGCTGACAGATACACAAATGCTTTTCTCCTATTCTAACCAGTATCCAGTCTCACTGTTTTTCTTATTGAGGTCTAATTGTATGACGTTTTGCCTAGAATTTTGTAATAAACAGAAACGTAGAAGCCTGGGAAAGGGAGGATGTCATTTCCATCTTAAATTATCCATCTTTTCCTAACGATGGGTGAGCATTTCTTGATCTCCACTGGGTCCCAGAACTGAGCAGTGGGCTTTGTATAGTGTGTGTCCTTTGGCATGTCTGCCTACGATTCTTCACTCAGCTGCTGCTTCTGGTGTTTTAACTTCTCTTCTTTGGATTAAACTGTTGCATTCTTTGATACATATTAGAAAGTGTATCCAAGCAAGTATTTTGAAGACAATTATTTTCTATTGCATCTAGACTACCTGTCTTTCCTTGATCTCCAGAAATAAAGTTTACCTTTTTTCTGAAATACGTACAAAACAACTGTTAGTGGAATTTAATGAGGGAGAGTAGGCATTGGAGCAGGTGCACATTTGGTTGGAGTACTGTTATTACAGCTTTAGAAAAAGAAAATATGATCAAGGTAGGGCTTATTTCCATCAGCCTTACCAGAAGGTAGAATAACATTTTTTTTCTCTCCAAAGATTGATACTTTTATGATGGAACTTGTAACGACAGATGGAAGCAATCCGAGTCATCTGTACAGCCATTTTGCATTATCTGCTGATTTAATATAAAGCTGATAATTATTCAATTTTTTTAAAAAATGGATATGAATGAAACGAAACTAAAATAATGAAATGTGTCCTTCTAACCAAGGAAAACAGTCTAAGCAGTTGAGTTACAGACACAGTTAAGAACTATCCCTGCTCCTATGTCTTGCCACTGTTAGGTGTAATTCTAGGTAGTTAAAAGCAGTCATGAAAATGACCTGCTGCTAAGTTATGCCTGGCATTCAATATTATTTTGAATGAATAAATGATGTATTTCAGTATTAATTATAAGTCTTCAACCAGAATGTTTCAAATCATATTCCATAAAGTTCTAAACTTGCTGTGATTCTGTGGGAATTTGTAATTATGAAGTGAGTTAGGTTTGGGATGCCTTACGAACTTTATGAGCTTCATATTTGGTTGACATTATTCTAGAATCTGCGTTCTTTACTTCACAGCTGCAAATTATACTGTCATCATCACTCATTGAGAATGTTCATTGTTCCCAAATGCAATCTGTGACTGGAACATCAAGTAAATTGTCCAGGTCTTGCCATCTCTGTGAAGAAAATGCCTTATGTATGTATTTGTTTTACCGTGATCTAGAGAGCAAGGCAACAACAGTAATTTTATTAAAATCCTTACAACCTCCATCTTTAACCTTAGCTTTTAGTATTGACATTATTTGTTATTTAACATTATACATTGGCAGCTGATAGAACTGCTGAAATCACAGGGTTCGAGCCTAGCTCCAGCACTCACTAGCTGCAGTTTCTTATCCTCTCCTGGACCACCTGCCTTATGCGTTCTGTGCGTCAGTCTCCTCACCTGGAAAATGGGAATCATCAGTAATGGAGTGGTAGATATGAAGATGAACTGGGTTTACTCTGATACTGTTGCCTTGATTTGTGCCTGATTGCAATTCTGCATATTCTTGAGAAAGATGTTCTGTGATTTCAAAAAGTTCGTGTATTTCTGTTGTAGGTAGCACTTTTCAAACTCCTAAATTGATTTAGAACTTTCAGAACTTAAAAGAATGGTTTTAGTGTCTGTCAGATTTAGCCCTTACAACAATTGGGTTGCAGTAGTCCTTAATAATATTTTCAGATCTGTTTCAAAGACATTCTTGATACAGTTTAAATAGTAAAATACATGGGCTGAGAAAATGAGCCCACTTCCATATTGCTAATAACAGCACTGAAGAAGCTTCTGTTTCTTTGTGCTTTTAAAATGCATGATTCTAGCATATTTCAGAACTCCTTGCCCCAGAGAGTCATGTGGGTAAAAGCAGAAGTCCCTCTGCGGTGCTGTTGTCCCCCGTGGCTTCATCACGGTGGTGGCAGACTCGGGAACTGTCTGACAATGGCGAGGACAGGCTGGGGGGTCAGTTGGCCCGGATCTGCTCTTCCTGCTGAAGGCTTGCTCCTTATTAGCAGAAGCTACCAGTGTCCGATCCTGCCCCAGTGGTGTGGTAATGGGCGGCAGTCTCCAGCATGGCTGGTTCCCCACACTGAGGGTTGTGTACAGGATGACTCCATGCCCCTTCAAGCAGTAACTGAATGATGGAATTCACACGGAAGCCAAGCAAAGGCCCATGGTGGTTTCCGACCCATTACCTCCGCGGCCCTGTGCACGGAGGCTTGGTGACATACACAGCTGGGACGTGCTTCATACAGAGATGAGGGTCTGAGTAGTGTGAACACTTGGCTCAAGTTTTCTGTTTTGTTTTTGCTCTTTGAACCACTAGAAACCACTTGTTCAAGGCGTGCAAATTCAACTTTGAACATGAAACGTTTAGAGAACACAGCATTTTTTCCAAATATCACTAACAAGGGAATATGTAGCCACATTTGAAAAGTATTGTTCACATCCACGGGAACATATATGTTAGACAAGCCTTCATCATCTGGGTCTTGTTGAACATTTTCTCAGGATCAAATTCTTCAGGATGTTTTTATTTGTGAATACTGCCCTTCCTGTTAATTTCTAATTTAACATATTTCCCTGATAAAAACCCGCAACATTAAGTAGGACAAATAAAGTACTCCTTTTGTGCAGTGGGAACATACATGCTTTTGATTATGTTACATGTCATCATCTCCTAATAAGATATTTCCGTTATTTAAAACTTCAGTGATTACTTATGGGAAGACAGGCTATAAACTTTTACAGGTCAGCTGTTTTCGGTTATTTCTGAGGGAAAATGTGTCTTATTAGTTTAAGAAAAGTGTACATTTGTAGACCTGAGTAACCAGCAGTGGAGACTGCAAGGTCATGTTCCTAATACTTGGAGAAAAGACGAGTGAAGGCCCCACTAGAGAATAGGCCCCCTGAAACGAACAGTGCCATTGTTGTCCCAGGTGTGAGTCATTCAGAGATTTAGCAGTTGTGTGTTGGGGTTAAAACGGGCATGGTCTCAAAGAGCTGAAATCCAACTGGGAAGGGAGATAAAATCAAATTCAACATGAAACCTAGAAGAGCTGAGTCTGGCGGGGTCACAATTAGTTATGCCAGTGAGGGGTAGAGCCAGTGAAACAGGCAGGCAGAGGGGGAGCATCTCGGGGTGGTTGTGGAGAAATGGGGTTTGCTCTAGTCCTCGAGGGGAGGGTCGGTTTGGGATGAGAGAGAAAGAAACTGGGTAAGTCCGCTCCCTGCTTAGAACTCAAAGTGCTGTTCTCACCAGAGGGTGTGTTTTTTATACATTTGAGGTGAGACTTTTGCTCCGTTTGTTATGTTGTGTCCCTCCCCCCCACCCGACACACACCAGTGGGAAGGTTTAGACTGTACTTTTCATAGCAAGTCTTTAGTCAGGTTCCTGGAGACCCAGCTGGCTCTCCCTCAGTATGACATTACCTAGAGGCTGCGCTGAAGGATACGTCCCGCACAGCATTTAGTGAGCTACTTGGTTTAGTCAGCAGGTTCGATTTGGAATCATGCAGACTGGGCACGGTTCCGCCGTGCGTGTGTTTCGTCTGAGTCCAGAGGATGGGAAGGGCGTGAAGCCAGTAAGCGAGCTGCTAGACGTGAGGGCTCGTAGAGAAGTGGAAGGCAGGGATGGAAATGCACTTTATTGTAAAAGCAAAAATGG